AGGCGTCCCGCGGGCTGTGGAGTCAGCCCTTCCTTCACCCTGACTGGGAGCACCCAGCCCGGGGTCAGGAATCAATGGGAGACGTTGTTTGGTGGAGCCCAGGCGTGCAGGCAGGAGGATTTGCAAGCGTGGGAGAGAGGGGCAGCGAGGGATGGGGAGATTCCTCATTACAAACTCCTTGCACCATACGGGAGAGGCATTGAACGTCTCCGTGCATCCATCATCCCCCCATGAACTCTGCTATAACGGGTGTCCTGCACATCAGTCCACTTCCCTGCACCCCAAAACCACTGCCCTTCACTTCCCAGCATTGCACTGCCAGTGCCAATCTCCTTCCCACCCTGCCATGCCTAGCCCCAAAATGCATTTCCTAGCTCCACCCTGAAAAAGCACCAATTAAACCAGAGGTATTCCACCACCAATCCCAGGCTCTGGCTGGGCCACCTACGCTGGTGAAAAACTCAGCTCAGCCCACCCCTGCAGCCACAATAAATAAATAAAATAATAAAATCAGTCACGATGCTGCCCTGCAGCCGGGGGAGTTGAGGCAGAGATTGGATTTGCCTATTATTGCTCTCCCAAAATATGTCACAAGCCTTCCAGCACCCTGTAAGCTGATCTGAACTTCTTGCTGCAAGCTTCTCCTGCTGCTTGTGGCAGCAGCATGGCTCCGGCCGGGCAGAGGTTGGGTGGGCAGGGACCACTTCCCCTTCAGCAGAGTCCAGAAAAAAAGGAGGAAAAATAAAAAATAAAAATAAAATCAAAAGAGATGAGCAGTCCTGCTCTGGAGCTCTGCACAGCCTGCTCGGGGCAGGCAGAGTCCTGACATGGGACGTGGGGACATGGCACACTATCCCCACTATTGCACAGCCCAGCATTGCCCCCCAAGCACCCGGAGGTGCCGGGCTGGCATCCCACAGCTGGATGCATCACCCCCAGGGACATGACCTTGTCCCCAAGCCTCTGCAGCCCCCCAGGGAAAGCCCACGCACTGCTTCAGGGTGGAGGAAGGACTGAAGAGGGTGAGAAAGAGTAAAATGGAATGGAAAAAGGCAGTAGGATGGGCATGACAAGCCCTTGCAATTCAAGCCCTTCTGTCCCGAGCACATCTCAGGGCAGCATTTGCTTTTAGCCCCCGCAGGCAGCTGCCACCAGCTCCCTCACACCAGCGAGGCCTCAGCACTGTCCCTCCCACAGTTGGGATCCCAAGAGGGTTGGTGCAGGAGGAATTGTTATCATGTGAAGAACAGTTTATATCACCTGGAAATCCTGGAAACACATTAGTTTCCCAGGGCACTGGGCTATTGCAAGAGGTGGGGAGCTGCAAACACAGAGCAACACTCAAGAGATCCTTCCACATGGGCAAAGGCAGCAGCAGGACAAGGCGATTTGGGGACGCGTCCCCGTTATCCCTGCAAGCCCCAGGGCTCTGCTGCCAGCAGCCACGGGGGCACACGGCACAGCCAGCCCCTTGCACCCGAGCTGGGGAAAATTAGCTGACAGAAGTTCCTGGTGCGGACGAGATTGTAACCCACGTGATGCCGCAGGCACGTAACTGCATCCTTTATGCTAAGAAAGGAACCATTTCCTCCTAAAGAAAAAAAAAATAAAAAGTCTAACCATTTATTTTTTTTTTTTCTCATGCTATAACCTCCACCAGCTAAGAACTGACAGAGACATTTCCTGGAACTGCTCAATTCAACATCCGAATCTTTGTCTTTGCCACCACCAACTTCAATCCTATTAAGTTGCACCTTTTCCCAGGAGGTTTATCCTTCCCACTCTGCTGGCGTGGGTGGAAAGAAACGAACAGGACAATCTAAAGAACTGTAAATAAAACTATTTGCCTGAGACGACCTTTGAAATTAAACCTCTCCGCTGCCTCCCTAAGGCTCTGGTTCCAGTCCCAGGTGAAGTCCTGGGGACGGCTGTGGCACAGGAGACTGCTTCCAGAGCCACGTCGATCTGTTAGTGCTGGGGAAAATGTTTCAGGTGCATCCCGGTTCTCCTCAATCCAAGGAGGAGAATCAAATGCCATGGATGGGGCAGAAGGCTGGATCCCAGCCCTGCTGCAAAGAAAGAGCTGGAGCAAAAAAGCTTCAAGAAAATAAAAAGAAAGAAATGAGCGTCAGGGTGCAAAGCAAAGAGGGGAA